ACATCATATCTGGGGCAATGTTAAGCCATAAATCTGCCAATGGAATTGTGTTTAATAAAATTCAACCATTCAGAAATTCCCAGAAATACAATATTTCAACTCACCTGCAAAGTGGGGGTATGTGGCGAACACATTTGTGGGAGCTGGTTCTGACTGAGGGTGGCACAGGGCAAGAGAGGATGAGAGACAGTGTGTGTTAGTTATAGCTGCAGGAGCACTTAAACACAAGTTGCTGTGGTATGGAGATATGCCCATTGCATTGCACTGCATTCCATTGTACTGCATTGTTGAACATGGTGTGTGGGCATGACTTAGGCTTGAAATCTGACCAATTTAGGCATCTCAAGCAGCAAATGTGGAGACCTGTTAAAGGCTAACCAACACACAATTATTTAATTCTACAACTGAGTCTGAGAACTGTTTGTTCTCATATATGTGATTTATCCTCATCCCATAATGTACCCAATCCTATGCAAATGCAGCTGAAATCATAGCAAAGTCTGCCCCTGCTTAAGCCAACTCCATTTTCCTCTTTTCTTTTCTGTTGTGCCACTGGTATCAAATGTTAGATTGTAAGCTTTTTAGAGCAGAGACCTATTCCCTTGTGCATTGTAAACAAAGGAGAAGAAGCAGGAAAAGAAAAGGGAGGGCGGGGGAAGAGGAGATTGGAGGAGGAGGATTTTGAAAATAAGTTTTGAGTGTATAAAGACAAGGTATGCTATAAAACAATAATCTGCTTCATCATAGCCACCCTGACATGTAGATGTGTGTGTACCACTTGTGTATTTTTGAAGGGGAGGGGATCAAATGCAGACTATCGTATGAGAAAGGAACGCTGTTTGGATTTTCTACCTCAAGTACCAAAGCATCTCTGGATGATGCTGCCCAAGGTCAAGGGTGGGTATATCTCCTACTTTACAGAGAGCAATCCTCTATTAGAAGACACCCTCTGTTCAAAGGGATGACCAGTCCAAATTCAGTTTTTAAGACTGTAGGGAAGCTAGTGTCACATCCCTCTACCTGGTCACACACAGATGCTCCAGAGCAGGTATGACAGGAAGTCCTCCCTGTCTGGAGCAACATTCCCCTGTGTGTCCAGTCTAGAAAACAGGAAATGTTGTATTTGACTGTTTCAGTGAATGATATGTCCCACACCCATCACCAGTGAGCACCCAAATAGCACGCTGAGCAGGAGCACAGCTCCCCTGGTCACCATCATCCCCAGTATGTTGACAATAGTGTATAAAATACCGAGTTGGATGGGCCAATGGTCTCACTCAGTATAAGGCAGTTTCCTATTTTCCTATGCTGGAATTAGGCTTAAAAGCCAATAGAAATCTGGAAAGCTTATAGCCAATAGAATAAGTTGCTATGGGACCTAATATGCAACATGTGTGTGGTGCTCACAATGGTTTCCCCATTTTTTTGCCCAAGGGCCCAATAAGGTTAGGAACCCCATGGTTTATGTGGCAAGACTCAGACTTCTGGATTTTTCACTTCCTTTCCATTTTCCCCACCCCCTTCCTTTTTTTACAGATCCTTTCCTCCATATTATTCCCAGCCTTCCTGCACAAGCCTATATAGTTGTGGTTTGGAACAAACAGCAGTTTCCTGTTACGTCCTAAAACTGTGGTTTGTTCAAACCATTGTTAGTTAACATGTTGAAAAGAATAACATGCTACAGCTCTCCTGGGACCACACCACTTCAGAATGCAAGTAGGGGTGCCAAGTTCAAATTATTTAAAAAAAAAAAACCATTTGAAGGTGAATGAAAACCTTGCAGTTAGTACTGTAGTGTATAAGAGAGAGTGTTAGGCTAGAACCCACTTTTATAGCAAGCAAGTTTTCCACATGCAAGGAGGGTTGTTGTTGTTTTAAGGTGGGGCATTATTCAAACAGGCAGTCCTGGATTCTGAAGTGGTACAGGTCCAACAGGGACCATGTGCTTTCCCTGCATGTGCAGATAAGCTCTGTCAGTCCCTGCAGCAACACTCTAGCCAGGAAAATTTGCGGAAGGAAGGAAGACTCCTTACTTGGAAGAGCTGTGTGTGTGTTTGGCTGACAGTCTCTGCCCTCTGAGCCAAAAGTCGCCAACGTTGGATCAAGGAGAGGTTAATAAATCCATGATGTTGGGTTTCTCCAACATTTTGAGGAGATGCATTAGGACAGTCCTAAAGTTTAGGGTCTGGGCTGTGAGCCATGGACCTGTGGTGGATCAGGAGTTCTCAAGAGCCAACAGAAAAAAAGGCTGGAAGCCAAGTTGTGGGCAAAGCTGAGTGTGTATGTGTGTGTTTTGTTTAGCCAGGGATATCGAAATGGGGTGGGAGAGATTTATTTTTGTGTGTGCGGCTCTGACCCTGCACACAAAACCAAGCATTTCCCATTTGGGTAGGAATTTACAGGAACTTGGCAGCTGGAGGGTGAAGTGGTGTGGTTATGAAGAACCAGGATGTTGCAGTGGTGTGTCAGGAGGGGAGGGGTGCAAGCCTGAACTTTGTAATAAGGACTTTCTTTCCTCCTTGAAAAGTGAAACAGGCCTGGGGAGAAAATGGGCACCCCATTCCATCTTGCCTCTGGAATACTAAGGTTCCTTCCATAAACTAGTATATTTTACTGTATATTCCAGCTGCAACACTGATATAATCTCCAGGAGTGTTGTTAGTCATTCCCTAAGATGGTGAGGACCATTTGACAACAGCATGAAACTTGTGGGTTTTGACTAACATGGTGTGTAAGAAGAAGCACCAACAAGGTAGTTCTTATGACTTCTTCACTCCTGCAAAGAACCTGATAGGTAGCCAGCCAGCCTCTGTTAAGAAACCTCAAGAGAATCCACCATCCTCTGAGGAGTAGGATATTTCATGTAACCTTTAGACATTACTATTTTTATATTTTTGCCTGTTGGTTCAGGACCTACTTTCAGAAGCAATAGAAATTTGTTTCACCATCTATGTGGAAGCACTTCAGCTGTTTGATGATGGCTAGTCTAGTGCCTCTTCTTTACTCTAAACCTGCCCTTCTCCTTCAACCACTCCTCCGAGGGCTTGGTGTCCTGGCCTGCCACCATATTGGTCACCCTCGTCTGGACAGCATCCTCAAAAGGTGTAGGAGATTTTTTTTCCTTCAAATGGCTGAGGACAGTGGTCAGATGACTGATATTGTCATCATCTTCATCTGCGAATTTCTCCAGTTGTTTTTAAAGCCATCCAAGATACACACAGAGAGAGCAATAAAACCCCATGTGTATATGTGTAAATATTAATATAACTACAGTGGTACTTCGGGTTACAAACACCTCGGGTTACAGACTCCGCTAATCCAGAAATAGTATCTCAGGTTAAGAACTTTACCTCAGGATGAGAACAGAAATTGTGCACCGGCGGCACGGCAGCAGCGGGAAGCCCCATTAGCTAAAGTGCTACCTCAGGTTAAGAATAGTTTCAGGTTAAGAACAGACCTCCAGAATGAATTAGGTTCGTAACCAGAGGTACCACTGTATAAACATTTGTTAATGCCATTAATAAACATCAATATATAATTATCAATCACAAATGATTTCATTAATATAGCCTATTATTCTACATCCAAGCACATTGTGGGCATGACTCCAACTTCCAATAGCTATTTTGTGGAGAAAAGAAGGAGAATTGCATTTCCCCAGCAATTATTCTATTTTAAGGTTGGTTTGTTGGGGAGATGTGTGATTGCCCTAACAGAACTCTTTTCTTTAGAAAACCAGAGGTGGGGTGCATCAGTTACACTGTGAAGTGGATGGGGGACCTGTGGCCCTCCCAAATGATTGTTGGGGTTCAATAACTGTCATCAGCCCCAGCTGGTATGGCTAATGGTCAGGGACGATGGAGCTTATAGCCATGCAAGGGCTGCAGGTTCATCTAACTTTGGTTTTCCTTCAGAAAGGTTCTTCTCCAGCAAGGCTGCCATTTATAGGCTCCAGAAGGGCATGAGAGAGGAACACAGGAAGCCACCTGACACTGAGTCAGACCAATTGGCCCATCGACTTCAGCACTGTCAACAATGACAGGCAGCAGCTTTCAAGCGTTTCAGACAGTCTTGCCTAGAGGTGTCAGGGACTGAGCCCAAAAGCTTCTGCCTGTGAAGCATAATTCAAAGCCAGACTTCCAGGCCAACTCTTGAATCTCTTTTTAATATGAAGCTTCTAACCTTGTACACATTTACTTGCTGTGACTAAGCCCTTTGAGCTTCATGTGGCTTACTCTTGAGTAAACATGCATAAGATTGTGCTATTGTGTTTTACTATAATTTCTTGAATTTACTTTTACCTCGTAATGAATAAAGATGCGTTCTCCTCAGAGCCGTCTTTACCCGGGGGTGCAAGGGGTGCGGTGCACCCGGACACCAAATTCTGGGGGGCACCAAATGTATTCCTACTGTATACCAGTCCCTCTCGATCGGCGGCAGTGAGAAGCAATGGAGTAGAAGTCCCCACCCACCCCCTCCTCCGTCGCTCCGTTAGAGGTGAGCAATTCCCCCCAAAAAACAACTTTGAGTCCCCCCCAAAAAAGGTCAACAACTTTGGCTTTCCCCCTTGGGGGCAGCTAAACTTAATTTGGGGGCGCATAAAACCTGTTGTTTGTGGTGGGCAGGATTCCCCACTTGGGTAGCATTGGGCAGTCTAACTCAGTATTGTCTACACTGACTGGCAGAATCTCTCAAAGTTTCAGGCAGGAGACACTCTCAGCCCTACTTGGAGATGCCAGGGATTGAACCTGGGACCTTCTGCATGCAAAGCAGATGCTCTGCCACTGAGCTATGGTCCTCCCCAAAGCCTCTGCACATTTATTTGGGAATGAATCCTACTGAAAACAATGTGATGCATTTACTTGTTAGCTGACATGCATAGGTTCTTGGCCTCCTGAGCATGTTGTCGTAATCAAATACACACACATCCCACCCTGCATAGGAGCCTGCATAGGCAGTAATGGTCAAAAACGACAAAATGAATAATTAAGCCTTGTTTTGACAAAATATTTTATTGAATATAGGTTTTTGTTTCATAATGAAAATTCAAAAAAATAGGTTTTTATGCAAAAAAATCATAAAGATATTTTATGACTAATATACAAAAGAGAGCCTTGTTTATTTATAGCAAGAATAAAAGATTGTCTATGATGTAACTTCAGATTTTTTAAAAAAAATATTATTATTATTAAAAGCTAGGAGAAAGTGTTTATTCATATTTCTGGAGGGTTTCCCTAGCTTTCCTTTAAGCAGGGCTTCAGGTGGGGGTTCTTTAGAGTGGTCAGTTGTTTTGTTAGTGACTCTAACGAGGTCCAGTTTGAGATGCAGACAGCTCACCCCCCGCCCCCCAAAAAGCACCATGTGCGATGTTTTCTGTCTAAACAGAGACACGCAATTGAAAAGCAAACCGTCTGAAATGACCCCCACCTAGAGCTGCGCGCCTGTGTGCGTGTGTGTGTAGGGGGGGAAGTCAATTCAGCATGCATTATTATTGTTATTATTATTATTTAGAAAACAGCTGTATTCGTATTCATTCAGAATTCTACGGCACTTTCTTTCCCATTTTAGAAAACGTCGACGGTCACTTTGAACGAAACGATTAGGTGCCATTTCTTCGGAGGCCAGAGGCTATCAAATCAGACATGCAAAAACGACTGGAATCAAAGAATGAGAGAGGCACAGAACCGGGGAGGGAAAGAGATGAAGAGAAAACTGAAATCCCGCTGCCCAGAATGTGCTTTGCATGTTCTGTTTACTCAGAAGTAAATCCCACGCAGCGTTTTCGTGAGATGGACTGCTGAGCCCAGTTTGCTTAAGGTCTCAGCCTCGCAACGCAATCCTAGGCACGCTTTAATCGAAAGGAAAGTTTCCCCAGGAAAGTGGGCACCGGGTCGTACCACCTAGCAAGTTATTGCGATGCTCGAGGGTTCATACATTATCAAGCAAGCAAGTGGGTGGGTGGGGGACTCCCCAAGTCCCTTTGGAGGCGCGATCCGCAAAGCAGTTAAGCAAGCCGCGGCGCTTCCCGAAGATCGTCTTCGAGCTCGAAAGTGAAAATGACTCGAAGTGAAAGCAATCAGCTGAGCTGACTTCGAAGTAAAGGAGTACCGTAACAGGCGTTTACATTCCAGAGATCAAGACAGACGATTTCCGCTGTTTTTTGGAGGGTGGAGAGGAAGACTTGAGAGGGCTGACCCGGGTTAGACACTGCATGTGAGAATCCCATCCCAGTCTCTCTCGGCAGGCATACTGAGCCACCCACCTGTCCGACGTCTCCTTGGTTTCGCAGCGTCTTCGGAACCGACTCAGAAGCGAGCGGCCGTCGAGGGCGGGTTTACTGGAAGTGAAACACCGTCTCAGGGAAGCGGAGAGGCACGTAAGACAGGAAAGGGATTCCCAGCTGGTAAAATCTCCCTTGAATCTGGGAATCTAGCACCAGCGAAGCGTTGAAAGCCGTGCGCGTCTCGGCGCCGGCGAGGAAGCAATCGCCGGCGAGGCCGTCCAGTTTGGAGATGCCTTTGGCCGGCCTGTGGAGGGCTTTCTTGGAGAGGATGCTGTCTATGCTGAAGCTCTGAGGCTTAGCGGAACTCCTCGGGGCGTCGGGGTCCGCCGGGTTGGCTGCGGGTGCCCCTGAAGGTGCCGATTCCTGGGGGAGCCTCGCCCCAGCATGCCCCAAGGCGCCCTCTCCCTCGACCAGCGCGTGATCCTTCAGGGAAGACTCGGGGCGCGCCGAGTGGCTTCTAATAGTCGCGCATCCGGACGGGGTCACCTGGAGGTGATGGCGGAGTCCGCTTGGGCCTGATCCAGGGCCGTTCCCTCCTCCTTTCTCTCCTCCCTTCGCGAGGTCCAGCCTGACCCTGGAGTCTTCATCCTTGCCCAAAGTTGGCGCCAGGTCTTCCTCGACGGCGGAGCTAGTGGTGAGGAGATGGTGGTGGTGATGATGGTAATGGCGGTGGCTCTCCCGAGGCCTCTTGCCTTGCTCCTCAGGCGCCTCTGCACCACCACCAGAAGAGGCTTCTCCGTCCCTCTCCATCCCCTCGGCATCCTCTCCACCGACGGCGCTCCCCGCTGCTTTGGGCTTCCTCTTCCTCCGCCGGTAGTTCCCGTGCTCGAACATGTCGAGGCACCGGGGGTCCAGCGTCCAGTAGCTCCCTTTGCCCGGCCGCCCCTTCTCCCGGGGGACCTTGACGAAGCAGTCGTTGAGCGAGAGGTTGTGCCGGATGGAGTTCTGCCAGCCCTGCTTGTTGTCGTGGTAGAACGGGAATCTCTCCATGATGAACTGGTAGATCCCGTTGAGCGTCACCTTCTGCTCCGGCGCTTCCTTGATCGCCATGGCGATCAGCGCGATGTAGCTGTATGGAGGCTTCTGCGGAGGCTCCTGCCGCGACAGCACCCCCGCCGAGGCGAAGCCCAGAGCCCCGGGGAGCCCTCCCCGCTCTGTCCCGTACAGGTATACCATGGGGGAGCTGCCCAGGGCAGCGGGGAGGGAGCCTCTGTACAGCTGGCTCATGGCAGATCCGAAGTGACTCGGGCTTGCCAGGGCTAAGGGAAAGTGGGGCTCCCTCTAGGACTCCCCCAGATCTGCCTGCGCTGCGAGGATCGTGGTGGCGCCCGTCCCTGCTCGCCTCGCTTTGGGCTCTTCCCCTCCTGTCGCTGCTTCATAGCGCTTTTTCCCCCCAAGGGGGGTGGATAGGGGAGAGAGAGAAAGGAGAAGAAGAAGGGGGGGCGGGAGGAAATGTGAAATAATTGTTGTAAGTTTGCGATTATATGTTGACTTAGCGCTGGAAAATAAATTGTCTCCGATAAACAGCCGTTTGTGCGCCCTCGGCCCACCCACATTAATTAGAACTCTGCGCGGCGACTGCAGCCGTTCCACGTGGCTCGGCCGTACCAGCCAATGGGTCTCCCCCGCGCTCCCTTCATTTGTTTATAGCATTAGTCTGTTGATAAGTCTGCCCACCCAAGACGAATCAAGCTGTGTTTATTTGGAAAAATTTCCGGGCACCCAATATATAAACGCACTGATCTGATGTTTGAAATCTCACGTCCACCCACCCCCACCCCACCCCGCTCCTTCCTCCCACCCACCCCAACCCCTGGAAGCACACACAAAAGCAAGAGATCTTATTCGCTGCTGCAGCTTAGAAGGGAAAAGACGGGGAGCCAGCGGGGAGCTCGTTAGCCTGGCTTTCTGGCTCTCTTTCCATTCCGGGGATGGGGAAGGGCCGTGGCTCAGTGGCAGAGCATGTGCTCTGCATGCAGAAGGTCCCTGGTTCAATCTGCGGCATCCCCAGGTAGGGCTGGGATATCCCCTGCCAGAATTGCTGGAGAACCGCTGCCAGTCAGTGTAGACAACACTGGGCTAGATGGACCAACAATTTGACTCTGTATAAGGTAGCTTCCTGTACCTTCTTGCTATATTTCAGTGGGAGAGCATCTGGTCTGCATGCAGAAGGTCCCAGGTTCAGGCCCCAGCATCTTCAGGGAGCTCAGTGTAGACAATACTGGACTCGGGGGACCAATGGACTGACTCAGTAGAAGGTCGCTTTCTCTATCCCTATACTAAACTCCTATCTGTGGCCCTTCAAATGTTGTTGGAACTCCAACTCCCATCAGCCCCAGCCAGCATGGCCAACAGTTAGAGATAATGGGAATTGTAATCAGCAGCATCTGGAGGGCCACAGATTCCCCATCCCTACCCTACTGCAAGGACAGGGCTGTATGTGCTGTGGTCCTCCAGATGTTGGGAGATTTTAGGAAAGAAATAGTTGTGGAATTGGAGACTCCAAGGTAATGGTGGGAAGTTCCAGGGCACTTTAAAAGAGAGACACATGCATGGGAGAAGCAATCAATGGCTACTAGTCATGGTGGCTGCATGTTGCATCTCGTGTACCTCTGAGCATCAGGTTCTGCAGATCAGGAGCAGAAGAAACCCATTGTGCTTGTCTGCCACATCTGGGCTTTCCAGAGACATCTGCTATCACTGTTGGAGCAGCTTGCTGGACTGGATGGGCCTGGCAACTGATTCAGCAGGGCTCTTACTATCTACTTATCTCACTGGACTCCCAGTGCCTTTCATTTTCAGCCAGCATGGTCAAAGATTGTAGGAACTGGCATCCATCAGTATCTGGAGAACCAAAGGTTGCCCACCCCAGCCCATCTGGATCAGGCCAGAACAGCTTTCTGTTTCAGCAGTGGGTTGCCAGATGCGTTTTTGAGAAGAAACTCACAAGCAGGGTGTAAAGGCAACCCCCTCCCCCCGCGCCAATTTATTATGAGTCATTGGAATATGGATTTCTTCCAATCCAATAATTGGTCTAATGAGATGTCCCTTTGAAGAATCTATGCTGGTAGCCAGCAGCAGCACATCTTCTGAATGAATTCCATAGCTTAATTCTGCCTGGTTTGTGAAGATGGACTTTCTTTTGTCCTGTAGTCAGTGCCACTGAACAACCCCAGTTCTGGAGTTACTCTTTTTGTAAACTGCTTTGAGGTTTTACAACAATCAAGCAGTATATAAATCTTGTGAAATAAGAAAGGGAGAAAAATGATTCTATGGCCCTCTTTCCACACACCATGAATAATTCTTTAAATGTTGTTTCATGTGCCTCCCTCCCTCTAAAACCCAGCCCTACGCATATTTATTGGGGGGGGGGGTTTCCACTGAATTCAGAGGGGCTTACTCCCAAATAACTGTGCATTGTATTGCAGCCTCGGGGCTCATTTATGCTTGCCCTGTATATCAATCAGATTGTATACCAATTAATTCTCCCAGGTCTGAGAGTGCTTGGAAAAACTTCCCAAAATTTATTTGGGAAGAAGAGAATGAGTATGTACACAAAGGACCAAAGCCTCTATCGTGCCATATTCTTTCCCCTGCTATAAGTGACCCCAAGAAAGATGCTTGACAATGGAGGCTGGTTCATTAGGGCACATGGGGCACTGCCCCACCAATCTTGGTCTGCCCTTAGCTACAACCTCCACCTTCTGCTGGTCTCTTTGCCTTCTGCCCCACCAGCTGCAACAGACACCAGCCATCACTGATGCCTAAGCCCCTCTCCCACAACTTATCCTATGTGCAACTGCAGTTAATACAAGAGATGACATGTGATGGCATTGAACATTTTGGTGCCTGTGGCAGAAACCCAGCATGGGGACTGGAGAAAGTAAAGAACTTGACCATTTGCTCTCCTTTCATGATTCCCCCCCCCCCCCGACCAGCTGCCTCTTGGCAGGTCCATCCACCCCTGGAGAGAACTCAGCAGAACAATCTCATGTGTGTGTTGCATCTCAGCCAATAGGTTACATTGACATCCGGAGCTGATTTAAAACTAAGCCAATTGAAGCCTTGTAAAAAAGAAAAAAAAGAAAAACCAGGCTGCCTCTTGTGTCTGCTTTTCCTTAAATCCGCCTGTCAGTACCAATGTAAAACCTGTATGGTGTACGGGTGCTTGTGAGTGTGCAATTTCTCTCCCACGTTCAACCTTGCACTGGCAGCATTCACACGTGTTGAAAAGAACACAAGAGAGAAAGGCACCACAACACTTCTCCCTTTTTTCTAGGGTTTCTTCTTCTTCTTTTACTTCCTAGTGTGAAAACAGGCTGGCATCTGGATTGTGTCAGCTGTAAACATTGCAAATGTAGGAAATAAAAGCATGAAAATAAACTTGTTTTAAACAAAATGTTCATTCTGGTAGCTCACAGATGGGGAACCTGCGGCCCTCCAGATGTTCCTGGACTCCTATGCTCCATGGCTCCCATCATAAAATATTGTGGGGGGGAGGTAAGCCCCCCCTAAATGGATCACATGACGCAATGCGCACACACCATTTGAATGGGAATGTGCATCAACTTTGTGAGGGCCTGCCCTCTCAAATATTTTATTGTGGGGGGTCAAAGCCCCCATGGCCCCTAGGAGTTTGCTCCTATGGCTCCCATCCTCCATTCGCCTTGCTGTCTGAGGCTGATGGGAGTTGAAGTCCAACAACATCTGGAAGGCCACAGTTCTGTGTGTTGGTTGTGCAACACTCCCTGTTGTCCATGGTGACCAACCACCACAAACTGACAATAGAGAAACCAATTTTTTTTAAAAAATCCTTCCAGTAGCACCTTAGAGACCAACTAAGTTTGTTATTGGTATGAGCTTTCATGTGCATGCACACTTCTTCAGATAGTCTCTCCTGATTTGTCTTGAGATGTGAGCCTGCAATGCATTTGAACCCTCACATGAAGCAGCATGGGGAGGTGGCTCAAAGATCATGAGAAGAACAGGATTTTATGCATGTGGCAGGGCTGGCTTGGGTAAGCGTTGACAGCCTGCTGCTGAAACCCCCACTCCAACAGATTGGGGAGGGCACTGCCAATTCCCAGAGCTGCCTACTGTTTGCTGTTGCTAACCTATCGTTTCCTGGTGTGTGAGTAGTGACAGGAGCATGGAACAGCAGCCTTCAGCAGCCTTGCCCTCTCCCTCTGAGGTAGTGATGTGCATTAGACCCAGAGACAGAGGCAGTGGAGAATGGACTATTACAGTCAATGGGACACCGCTCCACCAACTTCCACCAGGTGTCACCTGTCTGCCTTCAAGCAACCAGCACTGGCTGTCAGCTTCTTCCTCAGTCTCTGCATTGCCCATGCAGAACTCAGCAGAGAGAAGAAGATGGGGGGGGGGGACTAGAAAGAATTAGCTTCCCCTCTCATTGGCTCTCCCCATCCTCTGCCCTATCAGTCCCAATGTCCAGTACCAACCACCACTGGACAGTGGGCAAGCAAGTTCAAACCAAAGTGATTAGGAGGAGTTGGGGCCATTTGAGGTGGAACCCTTGCCACGTCCAAGCCCCTGCCACACCCCACCACCACAAAAGCAAACCTAGAAAGAACCAGTACCATTTTGTTTGTGGGCAAAGAACATCAGTGCTGGAGCAAATCCATAAACATGGGTTTCTGTTTGAATGCATAATTATAAATCTTTCAGCACAACTTGTTAAAACACACACATCATCTCAAGAGTATCTTTTCAATATCCTTTATTTGCTCTGAAGAAGGAAAGCAGGCCAATTTACATGGGTGCTCTGGAAAAGAACAATAAAACCGATCAAAACATGTACAAGCTCAGGAACACAACCTTCCAATGTGCTAGTGTGCTTCAGGTTCTATAAGGAAAAGGATGTGTTAGGAAGCCATACTCTGGAGTTGACTAGCCCCCCATTTGAGGGCCTGATCTCCCACCACCACCACCAATCAATTTTGTATTTCCCTACCCCCAAGACCCCACTGGGTTTGGCTTAGGTTATTACATTTTGGTTATGATTTTATGACCTCTGTTTTGAGGTCACACTGAAATGGCAATCCCCAAAACGTCATGAACAGGGGAATACTTGGCAAAGTCCCAGGGGAGCCTGAGTCTCCGTGTGCTCAGGCCTGTTGCTTTATATTATGTACTTTCCTGTTTATAACAAAGAAAGGGATTTATAACAACTTTAGAAGTGCACACAGCTGCTTGGTGCTTACATTAGGCATTTGGGATGCTTGGGTTTTGTGTAAACGTTTAGTGGGCTTGATATTTATCTCTATTTTTATTTACTGGCGTCATGGGTTGCATCGAAGGTGGTTGCAATTCAGAAAAAAAGGTATGTGTGGGGGCAGAGTAAGTATGGCAAAATAGAGGATCCCCCACACGCACGCACGCACGCACGCACACACACACACAAACTTTGCTTCCTTATGCCCTCCCCTTTTCTGTCCCACAAGCTCCACCCCACTTTCCTGCAACTCAGATAAGGGCAAAATTTAGCACCCTGTGAACCATCTGTTTCCATTTTCCAAAAAAAAAAAAAAATCAAGTTACT